TGAGGTCAACAGGCTTTGGTGTCACACAACTAAAACTCTATCACTAGAGTATACCATTACCTACCTACCCATCAGTACTAGATGAGTTAATTCATGTGAACTATTTAGGAGAGTTCAGGGTCCATAGGAAGTTCTCAATAAATTCTAACTCCTCCTGATCTACCCCTCCACACACATACTCCAACTTCAAATCCGCTTTGTATTTTGAAATAACCCACAGAGTTCAATTAGTACTACCTCTATACTTATGCGTGTGGGGTTATCCACAGGAGCTTGGTCCACCTACCAGGGACAACGGCCTTAGCAGTCATCAGTTAAGGGGAGGAAGCCCTTCCCCTTCCCCATGCTGGAATGTTGGCTGGCTTGATCTTGTGCAAGTCCTATGTAGGCAATCTCAGTAGTTGTTGAGTTCATGAGTACAGAGGTGCTGTCACATCCATAAGTCAGTCCTTCCCAACCTCTGGCTCTTACAATATTTCTACCCGCTCCAAAGCCCTATGTTTTTAGTGAACAGGAGCTCAAAGTTGGTGACTTCTTGATTAATCAATCATTTGTCATTTTCTGAACCAGTGATAGGCTCATGAACCAGCTCTGGCCAATATAATAAGGAATTTGGAACAGTCACTACCTCTGCTAGCTTGGGTTTGAGTGTGTCTTCTTTCTATGAAGTCACTAATGCCATCATGGGGGCACCATCTTTATGACTTTATCTAATCCTAATTCCCTTTCAAAGAAAACACCCCAAAATATCACTAGCAAATGAATATGGGGTGGGGGGTTAAGTTTCCAGCTCATGAATTTTTGGAAGACACAGCTGATGACCTGAGTTCGTGCCCTGGAACTGTCATGATAGAAAGAGACAACAAGCTGACTTCCATAAGTTGTTCTCTGACATCCACATGTACATCCAAACACACACAAACACACACACACACAAAATGAAATTTAATTTAAAGTTGTTTTACTCACTAGTCCATCTCACACCATCTAACTTTAAATTTTTAAGAAAACACAAAAATCTACACTTTTATGAAAGTCTAGTTTTTTAAAGATTTATTTCTAGTATTTTTAATCACAGTATGTGTATGCCTGTGTGAGGATATGTGTACATGAGTGCAAATGCAGAGGCCAGAGGCATGGGATCCCCCTGGAACTGGAGTTGTAAGCTACCTGATGTGGTGCAGGGAACCAAACTCGAGTCCTCAGGACAAGTTTACTGCTCTTAACCTCTGAGCCACCTATCTACCCTAAAGTCTACTTTTTAAATGCTGTCAATAAACTGAATTTTCTTCTGAAATGAAGTGGCAGTTTGCTGGCTACCAAGTTCAGTAATCTTAGTTTCCTCTTAGAACTTACTTTTATTTCTAGGTTTGCTAGATATGCTTAATATAACATACAATGTTACAATCATGCATTAGGTAAATCATTATTATCAAGGCTGAAGTTCATCATTTTTTTTCTTTTTTCTTTGATACAGGGTATGATTATGCATTCTAGGCTGGCCTCAAACTCCTGACCTTCCTGCCTCAGCCTCAGAAGTACTGGGATTACAGGTGTAAACCACCATGTCAAGCTTGATTATAAAAATCACTAAGTTGTTCCTCAGAGACAAGTTAAAATCACTACTATTAATAACTTGTTATAATCAAATTCCTGGGCCTGGAAGATGGCTCAACAGGTAAGGGAGCTTGTGGCCAAGCCTGACAACCTGAATTTGAACCCTGGAACCCACATGTTGGAAGAAGAGAGTTGACTCCTAACAGGTTGTCCTCTGACCTCCACATATACCTCACCTCCCAAATAAATAAAATTAAAAATTTAAATCCGAATCAACACATTTTTCAAATCTAACAGCCTAGAGTGGGCTGAAAAATTCCAAATGCTATGTCATTCTGTAAATACCATAGTGACCTCTGGGGATTTCTGCGATTCCTTCAGTCTCGAAGAGTTGCCACTTCCTCCTCTAGGTACTTTTGCTTACCATCCTGAACTTTTAGGGCTCACTGCATACCCTACTGAAATCATGCCATTGTTTATCCCCCCGGTGCAGCTTATAAACAGACACCGTAAGGATAAGGTGATCAAACAAATTTAGGATTGTGTGTCCAGAATGAGCCATGTGGCAGAATTCAGAGAATCTGTTCAGCTCAGGAGATCACATGCTTTCCAAGCAGGCTACCACGTGCCAACTACATGATAGATGCTGCTCCTTTATGCGATATCAGGCAAGTGACAAGTCCCACTGCCTTTTCAAAAAATAGTTCAGTTGAAAGAATGAAAGAAATCAGGGATTTGTTAAACCTGAATATACACATTGTTTGGTTCACTTACATTATAGCTATACAACAATTTCTCTGAGCCTCTGTAGTTTTACCCAAATGAATAGCAATAATGCCAGTTTTACATTGTTAGGAAATTAATTAAAAAATTCTAAGAAGTGCTAAGTATATGGCATGTTCAATAGCTAAGAAATGAGTCAACAAGCATCTTCTAAGGAAACCAAAACAACACCAGATTTTTAAATCCTAGGCAAACGTGTGCAAGAGGTCAATACATGTAGTTAACTCAGATGGTCGGTCTGTTACCCAAATAGCTGCTTAGTTTATTACTTATTTTATTTATTTATATTTTGAGACAGGGTCTGACTATGTAGACTAGACTGGCCTCTAACTCAGAGATCTACCTGCCTCTGTCTCCCAAGTGCTGGGATTATTAGTGAGTGCCACCATGCCCAGTCCACTGCTTGGTTTATTAAAGTACAATTTCCTTTTTAAAAAAAAAAAAAAATTATTTATTTATTTTTTTATGTGTATGTGTGTATTGCCTGCATGTAGGTAAGTGCACCTGTGCTGTGCAATGCCTGTAGAGGACAGAAGAGGCTGTCGAATCCCCTAGAACTGGAGTTACGGACAGTTGTTAGTTGCCATGTGGGTGCTGTGATTCAAACCCAGGTCTTCTGCAAGAACAGTGTTCTTAACCGCTGAGCCATCTCTCCAGCCCCCGTAAAGTACAATTTCTATCAAGCTCACAGAGAAACTCTTTATATATAAGGACAAAAAACAATGTAAATTAATGTTTGGTAAAACAGTTCAGGGACTTTCATGTATAGTCAGAATAGCAAAACAAAAGCCTGTAGGTAAGGGCTGCAAGATAAATTTGCACTTCACATGTAGCCTAATGCCCTCACCAGAGGTCTGTATCAGAATGCTCAGAATCTATGTTACCAACATAGAGAGAATTAAGATTGAATGTGGAATTAAGACTATTAGCTGACCCTGAAATGGGGAGAATATCCATTATCCAAGTAGGCCCAATATATAAAAAAGACTTACTCTTCCTAGAAGGCAGGAGGAAATGGCAAGAGAGACATACGATGTCATGAATACTTGGACCAGTCATTACTGACTTTGAAGATGGAGGGGAGCTAGGGGCCCACAAATGTGAGGAACCTTTAGAAGCTGGAAAAAGCGATGAAATAGGTTGTCTCCTAGAACCTCCAAAAAACACAGTTATGGTGGGACCCAACACAGTTGCACTAAGACCCATTTTGGAGTTCTGAATATGTGTTTTCAGCTGCTAGTTTGCAGCAGAAATGGTAAGAATTACCACTGGGATTCAGTACCTTCTTCCTCACCAATGGTATTCAGACACAAGCTGTTGGAGATTTATGTCTGGGGGTAGAGGATAAGGGGTAGGTAAAATGTCAGGATACATCAGATAAAGATCTCTTAAGTGTAATTCTACAGCCAGGAGCAAATGACTGTACCCTGAAACTACTTATTTTGCGTGTAGCCCCCGATTCCCTTTTCTTCTTTTTATAGAGCATTTAGACTTTCAAAGGATCTCTTAGGGTAAAAACCTTCCCAGGTATTTTTTTCAAACACCGAGCTTTTAACATTCCATGACTTTTTGAGGCATCAAGTCTCAAAGCATGGTCCATCAAACACCAAAATAACACATCAAAACTCACCTAAGATTATAAGGTGCATGTTAATGAATGAGGGTTGGGATGGGGCAGAGAAAATAGCATACACTACACTGATAAAGACCACTATCCAGGGAGTATTTAGGAAACATGGAACCAAAAAAGACAACAAACTGTTCCCATCACTTAAAAGTTTAGAAACCATAAAGCATTCTTCTGAAATCTTAGCACTCTTTAGAAACCTTAAACCTTGCTGTACAAGCTGTTTTTTGTTTTGCTTTGTTTTGTTTTCTGAGCCCCAGAGAACTCAGAAAATGTGGGAAATGGTTACTGCACCAGAGGGTGCTAAGAATGAATGACTGGTGGGTAGTGTACCACACTAAAAAACTGTCTTGTTTTCTGCCCCACTTCCTAACCTCTAGCTCAGACTTCCACATGTAAAGAATGCCCAGTCTTCCATTTTAATATACTGTATTCTAAATAATGTTAAGACTCTTGGTTTCTAGGAGCCAGTATCATTACGAAAGTGCAATTTTATATAATAGGCTCGCCCTGAAAGGTTATTGTCTCGTGTAAATGTTTTACTTCAAACATTCTGCCCACGTGTGTGATGCTGTAGTTATTTACAAATTAAGTTCTGTGTGTTATGAGCCATCATGTGGAGCAAGATCTTAGGTCTCCCAATAAGGGACAGGCCCTGAGAATATATTAAGGCAGACTAACAGTGGCTCTGAATCTAAGGGCAGTTTTATTCAGTTAGATGCTTAATGACAATAAAGAAATCTGAGATCTGATTGAAAAGGGTCTAAAACAGACCCCTCTCGGTGACTCCCAAATAACCCAAATACCAAAGCAAGGTCATAGAGAAGCCCGGTGGCGGGGGTAATAAACCTGGGAGCCAGAAACGAAGTCATGCGCTTCCAAATCTGAGACGGCCCTTTGCCGCGTACCTAGGCCTGGTGGGCAGGGGGGCCCGGGAGAACCGGCGTCTACACACGCGGACGCGGGCCCCCAATCAAGAATGACCCTGACCCAGGCCCATTGCTCAGCTAAACAGAGAGGGCCAGCCACTCACCCCGCAGCCACTGAGCGCCGTGAAACCATTTCCAGCTCGCTCCACGGCCGACAGGCCGCCGACCAGAGCCCTGAGCCGGCCCAAAGCTTCGCCGGCAGCCGAGACCCAGGAGGTAACGAAACAGCAGGGGATCATAGCCCAGCCTCCAGGAGGCCGCCATCTTTCCGGCCTTCTCTGGGAGTGCCCGCTACACAGCCTGATCCGAGCCCTCAAGGCCCGCCCAGGCCCCGCCTTGCATGACTTTGCCCCGCCCCCTGGGCGTGCGCCCCGCCTTTGAACTCACTGTCCAGCCCTCCTAGCACCGCCTCCAACCTTCATGGCCATGCCCCCCAGCTGTCCTGAGACCGCTCTCCCAATCTGTGAGGGTCTTCAGGCCCCGCCTTATAAAGGCTTGCCTTGGTTTAGGACTCGCAGTCCAGCCCTCCTTGCACCGCCTACAATACCTATGGTCACGCCTTCACGACGCCTCATTCTCCACCAATCAGTGAGGCCCGCCCAGGCCACGCCCTCGTCACGCCCTCGCTCTTGCCCTGCCCTCAAGTTGCCCGCTTCGCCGCCTGATTGCACTTGTGGCCGCAGAGCGGGACTCTGAGGCCCTAGGTCTCCAGGGTCTGAGCCATGTCTGGCTGCCACGCTTCGGAGGGAGACTGTTGCTCGCGGCGATGCGGCACGCAGGTAGCGGCAGCAGGTCGCAGGCCGGGAGCGCGGGGCGGGGTCACGGGCCTCGAGGTGGAGCTTCGGCCGGGCGCGCGGGGCCTGGGGCAGTTGCGCTTCCGGGTGCTGGATCAGACCCCTGGGGACCCTGCTGCTCTTCCCATGGCGGTATCTGGGCACCAATTCTAGGGAAAGAGTAAGGGAGTGAAGAGAGCGTTTGGACCACGTGCGAGGGTGTTCATGGGGAAAACACGCTGAGAATGCAGTTGGGACACCCCGGGAATTTCGGAACTGGAGTTGAAGCTGAACCGCTGCGGTTTATTTTCGGTGCCCCAACACCTAGCTCAGTGTTGCTGTATCTGAACAGTGCCTCAGATGACAGCACCCTTCCCGAGCAGTTGCTCCCTGTCTGCCTTGCTTGACTTTGGTTTTCTGGGATGATCAGGGAAACGAATCTTAAGAAGTCAAAGGGAAACGGGCTCTCAGGCTGCAGTTGGTTTTCTATTCGAATGCGCACCACAAGGATTGCCTTGTCCACTCTCAGCTCTCGGAAAGTGGTGAATAAGAACTAGGGGAATAAACAGTTTGCTGTTTCAGTACAATGGTTCGAGCACTGTGGAAGACCCCTAAAATTAGCTCCCTATGCTTTTCATTAGCTTTTCTTAGGGCTGAAGGTCTCAATAAAAAAATAACACATAGGATGATTTTATTGTTGAACAGTTGTCAGTCATTATTTTGTTTGAATAAGTGACTTCCCATTAGAAAAGCAGATCCTGAGGTTAGAATGTTAGGCAAGACAGAGGGAGACGATCCTGTCTATAGGACTGATCATTGGAGGTCATTCCTAGGCAGGTCTATAAGGAGAACGAGGAAAGAATATTAGAATCATTGCTAAGATGTCTTGATAGCAAACATGTTCATGTTGCCTAATAAGCAAATCTTGCTGAAGGTTATCACAGAAATACCGATTTTTTTATACACTAAAAATACAGATTTGTTTCATACTAAGTACTGTGCCAAGTTGGCAAGATAAGCTGGTGATCCACGGGCTGGGAATGAATTTACCAAGACAGAAAAGCCTGGAGGTAGAAAGTTTATTAGGCTGAAGTACAGCCACAGCACGCAACACATTGAGAGAAAATGCACAGGGGGCCCTACAGGGAGCTGCTGTGTTTGGAGGGGACGCTACATGGGCAGGCAAACAGCATGTAACAGTCACTTAAAAACTGATTTTATTTCTGAAATTAAATCCCCAATGAGACAGGCACGGTGGCACATGCCTGTAGTTTTAGCACTTGGGAAGCAGAGGCAAGTGGATCTATATGAGATGGAGGCTAGCAGCAGGAGCCTAAAGCCAAGAGCTCACATCTCCAATGGCAAGCATGAAGCAGAAAGAGGAAAGTGGACAGGGCTATGAGCTCTAAACCCACCCCCAGTGACATACTTCCTCCAGCAAAGCTACACCTCCTAAGATTCAATAACCACCCCAAACAGCGCCACCAACTGGGTCCATGTGTTCAAATATGGGAGCCAATTGGGGACATTTGCCATTCAAACCACCACAATTGGCCACGTTTTGAAAAGGAGATGAAAGAAACCACCAAAGCCACCATATACCTTCTCTTGAGAGATCATTACAAACTTTTCTTGCTGTTTGGGGTATGGACTCTATTATCAAATTCTACTTTTTGTGTGAGACACTAGAAAGATTTTGTGCGAAATCTTTTGATTTAAAAATATTGACTCAGGTTCTAAACATTATGCAGACCAAATAAACAACTTCCTGTGAATCTGATTCAGTTCAGAAGATACCAGTTTGAACCTTCTAATATGCTTTTCTTAATGTAAGAAGTATGGTCTTAGTTCATTCACTGTTTATCAAGTAAAATACTATGGTAGGTATAACTTATCAAAAACATGTTTCTTACTCACTAGAAACCTGGGGCTGGGAGAGAAAAACCATGAAGGCATTATTTCTGCTTTTGTTTTGCCTTACCTATTACAGTGTCCAATACTTGATAACTGTACAGTTCAGTCTGACAAAGGGACTCTGACTCAGATTGTCCTTTTGGGTAAGAGAGTTATTAATGCCACAGGCAGCATGGTGGGGATTCTGAGCAGAGTTCAGTCCCACGAGGAACAGCAGGATTCCCCCCTTATAGGTTTCTGAGGGAGAAGAATCCTATACTACATAGTTCATGAGCAGCTCATAGTAGGTGCTTGTAGTCGAGTTTGCTTCTGGGAAGCAAGGAAAGGGGGAAAGATTTGACCTTTAGTGACAACAGAATCAGGGCAGGATGCTTGTCAGTTTTCAGTAGCAGATAACTTGCCTCCAAAATTCCAATGACGGAATACTGTTAGGTACCGACTATTTAACTTCAATTTCTTCTTTGTCTCTATAGGATAATATAAAAATTAAGAAATAGGAATCTTTACTTTCTAGTAAGAACTAGAGCCTTACTTCTTGGGTTTGAATCCTGGCTCAGCAATTTGTTATCTGGTGGTCTTAGACAAGCTAATCTTTCTTGGTGTGATAACGTTGTTACAAGGATAAAGTAGTCTGTACAGTCTTAACAGTAGTGTGTGACAGAAAGTAAGCACTCAGTAAATGTTGGCAATTCCTATTGTCAAAGTGTTGCCACATTTACCTTCATCTTTATCCATCCTCCTGTGTTAAGGCAAATGGCTCCCTGTTCTCTTTCGGCCTCTCTTTCCACAAGCTAACCTACTTTTCTTCTGTATTAATCTCTTGCTACCTCTAATTCTTCATGTGCTATCATTTGAAAGTCAAATGTCCTCCAAAGGCCCATATGTTAAAGATTTATCTCCTAGGTTGGCACTATTGGGAGGTTGAAGCACCTTTAGAAGGTGGGAGCTAGTGAGAGATCCTTTGTCACTGGAGATGTGACCCCCAAAGGGCATAGTACACGCTTTGCCCCTTGTGCTCCCTAGCCATAAGGTGAGCAGTTTGTGCCACCATGTGCTCCCGCCGTTAGCATCCAGCATCCCCAGCAAAGGCCTGAAAGTAATGGACACAGCTGATCATGACCTAGAACCTATAAAACTGCAAGGCACAGTAAACCTTTTCTCTTGTTGATTATCTAAGGTATTTTGTTACAGTGCCTAAAAACTACTACTACATGTAACAGGAACTTGTTTTTATTAACCAGTTTTTTTCATCTGTTTTTCTATCTAGCTCTCCTCTCCATTGCAACATTATTGAGAGTCATTAGAATTCTATGCCTGCAAATTCCTTTCACTTCTAACTGAAAGTGAGTGAAGCCCACTTTGGTCTGGCCTCCAAATTCAATCCATCAGAACATTTGTCACTTGGACTGGCGAGATGACTCAGTGGATAAAAGCTCTTGGCACCAAGCCTGACAACCTGAGTTCAATGACAGAACCAACCTCTAGTTGTCCTCTTACCTCCACACATTCATTGTGTTCACATATACACACACTCAAAGAATTGTTACTTAAGGTCCTAAATGACATAATTGGCAGATCCCTTTAGACTAGCACAACCCTGGATAAACCCTGCCGCCTACCTTCTCTATGCCTCACTGAGCAACTGAGCATTGCTGGGAAATATTCCAAAACTATGCTATGGAGTGTCACTTCATCCAGTAATTTTGCCCTCCAAAAGGCCTCTAACACTGGCATTGGCCCACCTGTCTCCCCTAGTAGTCCCCAGTGCCTGGTATCCCCCTCCCCACAGTGACTACTTTATACTTTTATTGTGCCTCCTGTACTGCTGCTGGTGGTCGGGTCAGGGGCAGATATTTCCAGGTTCTTGGCCTCTTATTCAAGGAATTGAAATAAAAGCCCACACAGATTTTTAAAGAAGCAGGGAAACTTTATTTAAAGCCAATCAATAGAGAAGATCAGAAACACCCCCACAAGAGAACGGTGGACCTCATGAGTGAAGACACTCGGCTTCAGTTGTTGTTTGGGGATGTTTTTATGGGGTTCAAGAGAGGAGAAGCTTGGTTACTAAAGGGCTAGTTCTGTTTTGATTGATAGATTAGGTCACATAATCATGTTCATGTCTCTGCCCATAATGCATCTGCTTTTAATCATATGCACACCAGTTATGCATAGGCATAAGATGGTAAGTAGGGAATTTTCTCTACAAGTTTACTTGAGGACCCAATTTTGCCTCATTGCTCATGCATCCAAAAGCCAGTTTAGGCTCGATTGGGCTTTCCACTCATCATACCTAGTTACATTGGGAATAATTTAAATAGAAACTAAGTTTGACAGTTGTCAATGGTGGGAGAAACATCTCATTGTTCAGAGAGGAGTGTATATGTAGCCCCATGCAGTGGGGGTCTGAGGTATGCATTGTTCAGAGAGGGGTGTGTGTGCATAATACATTGGCGTAAATGAGATGGGCTTCTAAGTGCATTATTAGACGAGGGGAGTGTGTATAACCCAAATCAAGGACAGTCCCAGGTTTCTGAACCATTCTCTGTGCTGCCTGCTTCATTATCATGTCCCCACATTCTTCCTCAGCTCATGACTCAAGAAAATAGAGGTCACCGGATATGAACTTACTTACCGTCCTTTCACAGCCCCTTCCTACCAAAATGTCATTTCAAACTTGTCATTTCATAAAATGGAAGCAGCTTGCCTCCTCTGTTACTGCTAGATAGGCACTCACCTACTGAAGTCATTTCTCTCTCTCCCTGTCTCTCATCATGAATCCATTCCTTTCTGATAGGAGGGATCACATTGGCTTGGCGTTCAAACTCCTACATGATGTGGACCTGGTAAAGTCAATCCCCACCACTCAGCACGTCATCAGTCTATTCTTGGCAACTGCTCTTTGACCTATCATGCACTTCATCACTTCAGGGCTCTCATGCCTCCTGTTTTTCTCCTGGAGCACTTAGATCTCTCCAACACAAAGTTTTACATCTACACATGCACTCATTCATTATACACTGGGTTTTGTTTTGTATCTTTAGGTCTTAGAGTAAATGCCATATATACAGAGAAGCCTTCTTTATCACATTAAT